CGCGGATGTGCCCCAAGGCTGGAAACTGTTGAGCGGTGCAGCGACGGGAGCTGCAAAATCATTAAAACTAAGGGGGTGTGGGTGAAGATTATTGGATATGCAATTACACCATTATTAAGTTATATAACTCTGTAGTAGTAAAAGCTGTCTGGGACTGATGCTCACTGCGAATGCTTGCCATTCTTGCTTAAACAGCGCAGTGGGTGGGGTGTACCTAATCTCCCAGTTAGTTCTTCTGTACAAATTCCATTTACGTTGCCCCTGCTGCTCCCACTGCCTCCCAACCCTCACCTGCTCCCCAACCCCGACCCCCCGACCCCTCAAAGTTCCTTCAAGCCCCACCATTGTTGGAAAAATCCATTCCACCTTTAGTTGCAGACATGGAACTGTTGCATGTCACATGCCTGTTTACATACCAGCACAGCTTGCTTGGAGCTTTTGCTTTTCCCTGTCTCTCTGAGAAGAGAGAGACACAACATGTTTCTTTGTCCTGATTTATGATGAATAAATCCGTAGTTGTAGTATGCTTCCACAAGCCTCACGCCTATTCTGTGTGCACAGTTCGCTCTGCTGATATAGTGTGCCCTGGCTTTGAAGCCTGGGTCGCTGATTTACATTGGAGCAGAGGCCGACGGGTCTTCACAATGGGATGGCTGGAAGGAGACGACCCAGCTGGGGCTAGCCAGCTGGCCTTGCGACCCTCTGAATGCCGACAACCATATCCTCACAGCTCCCTCAGGCTCCCCATATAATATGTCTCTCCATTCCTGCTTTATTCAACTGCCATCTTAAACCCCACCTCCTCTTCTGTGCCCCTACCCCACCCTGGCCCCATGCAAATTTGGGATTGTCAACAGGCACTGCAGATCCTCCAATGGAAGTTGCGTGACGGCAACCTTACAATTTTATGTATATAGAAAGAAACTGGTTTGCAATAACAAGGGAGTCATTGAAACTTTCGCCCGTGGAAAGATAGCGGCATGATGCAGCCAGACAACTTGGCTTAAGTTCCGTTTAACCTTTGGCATGGATTTCTATCCTCTTGCAGGAAAAAGAGGGTGTGTATTAATCTTGTAAAGGCAGTGATACTGGCGAAGGGGAAGGGAGATATTTTTCATTGGGCCCTGGGGCAAATAATAAGCAGGGTTTCTACCTACACCAAACCCTTCAATGAGCAAATAGAAAGGTGGCTGGTGTTTATTGAAATGCAATGCTTAAAACAACTTAGGTTTTGAGATAGAGTGTGGGTTAAACCACAGAGCCTAGGGCTTGCCGATCAGAAGGTCTGTGGTTCGAATCACCGCGATGGGGTGAGCTCCCGTTGCTCAGTCTCTGCTCCTGCCAACCTAGCAGTTCGAAAGCACGTCAAAGTGCAAGTAGATAAATAGGTACCACTCTGACAGGAAGGTAAACGGCATTTCCGTGCGTTGCTCTGGTTCGCCAGAAGCGGCTTAGTCATGTTGGCCACATGACCCGGAAGCTGTACGCCGGCTCCCTCGGCCAGTAGAGCAAGATGAGCGCCGCAACCCCAGAGTCGGCCACGACTGGACCTAATGGTCAGGGGTCCCTTTACCTTTAAGGACAGGGGAGGGAAAGATGAATCTGTCAGTTTTCCTTTCTCTCAGTTTGTCACTTTCCCAGTCCTAGGTTCTCCACCTTTCCTACTGAAAGTCTGTAATTTTAGTGCACTTTTATCCTAATAAGCACATATTTGTATGTAATTCTGCCTAATATAATGCACGTTGATATGCACATTCCCCTAATAAATGCACTTTTGCTCTGCTTACCATCAATATATACCCCAAAATTTGAAGAGGTGTGAATTTTCAAGAATAGCTCCATTTCAGTTTGCATATTGCTTCAAGAAGTGCAAATCTAGGTTCGTTTTGCATTAAAACCTGGACTGGACTGGACTGGATTTCTTCCCCAACCCTAAGCGTGGTTATAGGGAAATTTTAAACCCACAAATGGAGATGCAGGATGAAGGGGCTTAGTGTTGTGGTGTGAGTTAAAATCCTGTGAAAGAGTCACTTGTTGTGCCAGATATCAGCAGCTGGCAAATGATCATGGCAAAATCACGATTTGCAATTCCTTGGCCATTTCCCCCTGACCAAAATCTGATGCTCAAGGTTTCTCACATGGCTATCATTTTCACTAGGGAGATTACAGGCGGCATTCTTCTTCCATTTCCCCACCACAGCAAGATAAGATAGGCAGAGAGATAATGTCCTAAGGTTGCCAAATAAGTTTCATGGTGGAGGAGACAGAATCAGAAGTCAGAGCTCCCTGCCTGAAAGTCAGCCTGTCATTTACTAACATGCTGTACGGTTAAATATGTTGCATGCAGGAGATTCTCTAAACTCCATTCTAGTAAATTGCGGGTGGTGGGCTGCATCCTTGACCCCTTGACCTGCTCATGAAAAAAGCTCCTTTTAATAGTCATATCTTCTTTCTGGAGTGTTAATTTTCTGTATATCTGTGGTGGAGAAAGCAAAGATACAGTAGCTCAGGCAAACTCGGTCCTCCACGTGTTTTGGGACTACAACTCCCATCATCCCTAGCTAACAGGACCAATGGTCAGGGATGATGGGAATTGTAGTCTCAAAACATCTGGAGGGCTGAGTTTGCCTATGCCTGCAGTAGCTTTGCCTGTGCAGCATGAACTGGTATACTCCAGAAAAAGCTAGACTACTTTGCTGGTTGTTGTTGTTGTTTAGACCCTGTTGGAAGTCACCCACTCACCCTTTGTTTGTATTTACAATTGTGAGTTGTCACAAGATAGCCGGTTATTGGTAATAGTCATTGATTTCGCTATACAGTTGTTACTGTACGTCCTTTGCAGGTGAAGGAGTTGTGCATGTTTGACACATGATTATATATAAATATTTTGTGCTATAAATTGCCTTCACCCTTATGTTTTCGTTAGTAAGAATGCATAAATGTAATTTTCATGCAATATTCTTTGCTGAATTTTATTGTGTTACCATCTTCCTTGGTGAGTTGTGTAAACTACTATTCTGAATAATGCCTTTCGTAGGGCAGGGGGCACTGAGGATGGTTTTGTGGAACCAAGGGCCACCAAAAGTTTGGGAGCCACTGATATAGATGAAGACTGTGGTTTTTGTGTTTTGTATGAGTTTCTCCCTTTTAGCACGACACTGTTTTGACGACATGCCAGACCAAGCATGTGAGGATCTGACGCTCATTTGTAACTCTTCATGTTTTTGGCATGAGTTTCCCAGCAATGCTGACACATGTTCCTCATCACTCACCGAGAAAAAAAGAAAAGCAGTGGCCTATTTGGGGACATCGCGACAAATGCACGGCCATTATTTTTTATGATGCCGATGATTTGTAATGTTAATAGTACCAGTTTTATTTCATTTAGGAATCACTTCCCAGCAGGCGTTGTGGAGCGATTCGCAGTATAATCACATATTCAAAACAGTTTCATCCATGAAAACAGTTAAAACATATTTTAGGGACGCGGGGGGCTCTGTGGTCTAAACCACTGAGCCTCTTGGGGTAGCCAATTGCAATGTCAGCAATTTGAATCCGTGCGACAGGGTGAGCTCCTGTTGCTCTGTCCCAGCTTCTGCCAACCTAGCAGTTTGAAAGCACACCAGTGCAAGTACATAAATAGGTACCGTTGCGGCGGGAAGGCAAACAGCATTTCCATGCACACTGGCACTCTCACTGTGTTATCTTCCTTAGTGGGTCCTGCGAACTGCTACTCTGAATAATGCTTTTTATAGGGCAGGGGCACTGGGGATGAGTTCATGGAACAAGGGCCCAAAAAAGTTTGGGAACCACGGCTTTAGTGCAAAGAGAAGAGCTATTGTGCAGGCCAAATCTAGTTAGAGAGCTGTAAGGAGAAATATCATGTGTGGAGGACTGCCAGGTACCACACTGCCCTTCCTTCCCTCCCTCTGGGATAAATGCGGGGCAAAGTTTCCCTCCTGCATGTTTGAGAACCACTAGCTGAGCAGAGGTGAAAGTTCCCCATGTGGATATTATAAACTAGTTGTGTTCTGTGTTATAAATCAAGCACTGCTAGGAGCTGTTCCTTTCCCCCCCTTTCCAATATGCTTTCTTATCAATAAAAGAAAAATCGGCGTAGCCAGAACACGTTTTTATTCTGAAAGTGTGGCCCAAAGAAAAAAAAAGTTCTGAGAACCACTGGGTTAAGAGGGACGTCGCAAACAGCCTACACCCCCCTCCCAAACTCATAACACTATGATGCCAGGCACACCATAGAGGTTTTATTTGTGGCAGAGAAAACAAAAGATACAGCGGCCTCGCAAGCAAAGAGGATTTGAAACTGGCCAGCGGTACCTGAGTGGGTTGAGGTGGAGAGAGAGAAAGCATTTTGCGGAGCAGCTTTGCAAGCGCCACAGCTCAACTGATCGGTGGCGTTTGCAAAGCCCTTTTCCCCACATGTCCCGTTTTCAAACGCCCCAGGGCCCGAAGGCGTCCAGCAAGGTCGTGGCACGAGGGAGATTTGAACCCAGCCCCTGGTTTCCCTTGCAGCTCCAGACCCTGAACGCGCCGGCCTTTTTGGGGATGCCACAGGGCTCTCCAAATGAAAACGAAAACAGACATAAGGCCCCTTTCCACGGCGTTTAAAGCGGGTTTTGCAGCAAGAAAGCGGCGCGCCCAGAGGCCAGCCCTTTGGATCGCCCTCCTTTTAGCGGGCAGCGCCTTCTTGTTGCGTTTCCCGGGCTCGTGGGAACGCGCGCATCTCCTCGGGCGAGCCCTTGCCGTTGGCAACAGGGCGCTCGCAGGCATCCCTGGAAACAGATCAGGAAAAGCAACAGCGGGAGGTGGCGAGAGGGAGGGAGGGAGGCGGAGGGCTGAAGGTCTCTTTTCCTGGCCCGGGTGTTTATTTTTTGCAGCGCTCCGGCTGGGGGCGTGTATTTAAATGGCGCCGCGCAGCCAATGCGCACCGAGGGGCCGGGCCATGTGGGCAGCTTGTTTACAACAGACCTTCGCGAGAAAGCTTGAACCCGGCCGGCAAAGGAGGCGGAGGAGGCGGCGAGAAGGAAAGCCCGGCGCCCCGGAGCACGTGGAGGAGCCGAGCGCGCTCGGGGGATCGGAGGCTGTGCGCCGGCTCCCGTGCGCCCTGGTGCGCTCCCGGTTGCGCACCCAGAAGCTGCGGTGATGGGCGCGGCGACCCTCGCGAGGAGGCCCCGCTAGGAGAGGACCCCGCAGCGGCTCGGAGGCGAAGAGGTGAGCTCGGAGGAAGGGTGTGCATCGGTAGACACGGGGAAAAGTGGGTTCGTGTTGCAGGGGGAACGTCGGAACGGAGGCCCACCACCTGGTCCTTCTTGCAAGCCGGGCAGCCAGGCAGAAAACCTTCTTTTGCCGTCGGTGCTGTTGTTGGTTTCAGCCAGCTGGTATCGAGAGGGGGGGGGACTGCTGTTTGCTTAATTCAGGCTTAGGACCGCATGGATGTAGCTAAATTTCCTCCACGGATTCGCCCCGTCCTTTTGGAGAGCCATCTAAGCAAAGAGCTGCCGCCACACCTTGTGGCAAGGAGTTCCGTGCATTAATGAGGGGATGATGGGAGGAAGTGCTCCCCTTTGTCTGCTCTGCCTCCCCGTCAGGAAGAGTATCCCGGGAACCTGGAACTATGGGAGAGGGACAAACATAGAATCGTATTTTATTGGTTTATTACACATATATGCCACCTTTTTTCTTCCAAGCTGGTGTACATGCTTCTCCTCTTACCCAATTCATCCTCACAACAACCTGTGAGGTAGATTTAAATCATAGAATTATGGAGCTGGAAGGGACCACAAGGGTCATCTAGTCCAACCCCCTGTAATGCAGGTATCGTTTGCCCAACTTGGGGTTTGAACCCATGACCCTTAGATTAAGGGTCTCATGCTCTGCTAATTGAGCTATATGAAAGACAGGACTCTCTGGTCGTTTTCTTGCACCATGCATACTTCCCCCAACCCTCTCCCATGCATCCTGTTGTTCTCCTAATTATAAAAAAAAGCATCATAGCCCTGAGGTCAGCCTTTCCCAACCTGGTGCCCTCCAGATGTTTCGGATCGCAGATCCCGTTGGCCCAGGCTGCTTAAACTCTTCCACAAAGGAAAGATGCTCAAACTTCGCAGTCATTTTAATGTATTTTTTTCTGGCTGTTTTTGCACCTTTCTGAATATGAATGGCTGCAGATGCTGCCTTTGGTGCTAGGAAAGAACGTTGCAGGTAGGTAATTGAGTACAGTCCTTGCCAAGCTGGTGCCCTCCAGATGTTTTGGACTACAGTTCCCATCAGCCTGATGTGCTGACTGGGTTTGCTGGGAGTTGTAGTCCAAAACATCAGGAGGGCACCAGGTTGGGGATGATGATGATGATGATGATGATGATTATTAATACCTTACCCATTTGGATAGGTTTCCCAGGAAGGAGGGACGTGGGTGGCGCTGTGGGTGAAACCACAGAGCCTAGGGCTTGCCGATCAGAAAGTCGGTGGGTTCGAATCCCCGCAACGGGGTGAGCTCCCGTTGCTCGGTCCCTGCTCCTGCCAACCTAGCAGTTCGAAAGCACGTCAAAGTACAAGTAGATCAATAGGTACCGCTCCAGCGGGAAGGTAAACAGGGTTTCTGTGCACTGCTGTGGTTCGCCAGAAGCGGCTTAGTCCTGCTGGCCACATGACCCAGAAGCTGTCTGTGGACAAACACTGGCTCCCTCGGCCTATAGAGCGAGATGAGCGCGCAACCCCAGAGTCGGTCATGACTGGACCTAATGGTCAGGGGTCCCTTTACCTTTACCTTTACCTTACCCAGGAAGTAAGGGAAGGAAGGCTGGGCCTGGGCTTATAGATTCCCCTCTCCCCGTTCTCCTTTCTTTTGTAATCTTACTTATTTTTGATATGTTTGCCCTGCTTCCGAGCTCATGTGGCAAAGAGACTGTGGTGTGTGCCTTGCCATGCTGCCATTTGTGCACATCAATGAAGCTGTGTGTTTTGCATGATTTGGGACAGATACAAGGAAGGACTTACTTCCACGCGGTGCATAGTTAGACTGTGGAACTCCCTCCCACTGTAGGCAATGCTGGCCACCAACCTGGATGGCTTTAAAAGAGGATGGGAGGAGGAGGACCATCAATTGGCCTCATCCAGCAGGCTCTCCTTATGTTCCTATGCCAGCAAGTCACCTGGAGATATTTGCTCTGCCTCTTGTGAATTTCCACCTCCTGATAGCGGCCTGGCCTGGGATGTGTAAACAGATCTGTTGCCATTCTGATGGGGGTGGGTGTATGGGTTTTGTTTTGCAAAACAGTGTGAATCTCCTGATAGCAGGTGAACCGTGGCCAAAGGGATGAAGTGGACTCCTTTATAGCTTTGTGAAAGAGGTAAAGGTAAAAGGACCCCTGAGCATTACGTCCAGCCGCGGACAACTCTGGGGTTGTGGCGCTCATCTTGCTTTACTGGCCGAGGGAGCCAGCGTACAGCTTTTGGGTCATGTGGCCAGCAGGACTAAGCCGCTTCTGGCGAACTAGAGCAGCGCACGGAAACACCGCTTACCTCCCCTCCAGATCGGTACCTATTTATCTACTTGCACTTTGACGTGCTTTCGAACTGCTAGGTTGGCAGGAGCTGGGACCAAGGAACAGGAGCTCACCCCGTCGCGGGGATTCGAACTGCCGACCTTCTGATCGGCAAGTCCTAGGTTCTGTGGTTTAACCCACAGCGCCACCCGCGTTCCTTGTGAAAGAGACCCCCTCCTTAAAAAAAAAAATCCTTCTTTACATACTTTGCGGACGGCCCGGGAATCAGCGTGTTTTTACATGAGTAGAATGTATCCTTTTATTTAAAATGCATCTCTGGGTTATTTGTGGGGCCTGCCTGGTGTTTTTACATGAGTAGAATGTGTGCTTTTATTTAAAATGCATCTCTGGGTTATTTGTGGGGCATTGGAATTCGTTCATTCCCCCCCCCCAAAAAAAATGATAGTCCGGCCCCACACAAGGTCTATGGGACTGGCCCCCCTGCTGAAGTGAGCTGGCCCCCTGCTGAAAAAGTTTGCTGACCCCTGCTTTAGGGAGTCTTGTGACCTCCTACATCTCCAGGATGCAATCAAGAGGACTAGCAAAATGGGAAGCTTTTTTTATACCAAGTCAGACCATTGGTCCTTCTGGTTCAGTATTGTCTACACCGATTGGTTGTGTTTCCCTGGGGTTTCAGACAGGAGTCTCTCCCATCCATACCTGGAGAGTCTGAGGACTGAATATGGGACCTCCTGCCTGCCCTTCCCTCCCTGACTTCATAGGACTCTATATCCACTGATAGTTCTTGGCTGCATGAAGCAGATGAACTGAATGTCAAGCTAGCACTTTGTGATATATTTCAGGGTTGAAAGCTTTCAGCCAAGCCACACCTGAGTTGGTGTGAACTCTCCCGTGGTAGTTCTCAGGCCTAGATCTTTAGGATGCAGTCATTTCCAAAGGCTGCAAGATGAAATTCCTTAACCAGAGATAGCTCACAAAGAAGAAGTCTCAAACCTGAAGGTTCACATACACCAATGGTGTCGCTTGCCATGGAGATAGGATGTAATTCTCCTAGGAAATTCTTAAAGCTTAAGTTCTTAAAAGCAGTTATGACGAGCCCTCCTGTACACTCCAGGTCAAGTGGTGGGGGTGTGTGTGTGTGAAAAAATCCACATTTGTGAACTTTTTTGGATGCAGCTGGATGGTATGCAAAACCCTGATTGCAACGATCTTTCAATTAATGTGCAAATGAGAATTAGGAAGCATTTGCATTCTTTAATGTGGGTTGTTATAATTGTATGTATCAGGAAACGCGCCCAGGGCTGCCGACTCCCACCTTGCCTCAAGCAGTCCTATTGTTGTACCTTGGGGCAAACCCCAAATTGAAATACAGAGCACATTGGCACACTTGTTCCCTTATTCCCTGCAGACAGGAATACTAAGAGGATGTTCGTAGGGAAAGAAAGGCGTGAATTCTCTGGTGCTAAGGTGCTGCGAAACATACAATTGGATCCTGTCGCGCCCCCGCCCCCCGCACTGTTTTTCTTTTCATTAAAAGAGTTTCAACAATATGGCGCCCTGCCACCTTATTCCTCCAAACACTCAGAAGCTGCACTCAGCCCTCTGTTTGCACTGTAGGTGTGTCTCGCCAAAGAAATATCTGCAAACTCCCAGTGCAAACAAAGGGGTAGTGTAAGGCTTCTGCTGGGGGCTGGATCACGTAGGTGTCTTCATTAGGTGAGGACTCCAGCTGCTTTTCAGGGCTGGCAGGTCACACATTCAGCTCCCAGCCATGCCATGTGCAGAGATGGACAGAGCAATGTTTTGCCTGTCCGCCCAGGACTCAAGCATTGCCAGGCAACTGTGTACACTTGGTTCTCAAACATAAAATGCTCCGGAAGTCCGTTCGACTTCCAAAATGTTTGAAAACCAAGGCCGCGGCTTTCCGGTTGGTGCAGGCGCCCCGGAAACAATAGCCGGCAACTGCATCGGGTGTTCGGCTTCCGAAAAACATTTGGAAACCGGAACACTTACTTCTGGGTTTTCGGCGTTTGCGAGCTGAAATGTTCAAGTACCAAGGCGTTCAAGAACCAAGGTTCCACTGTACAAGCACCCTTCCCCAAACTGATGCCCTCCAGTGGTGTAGCATGGGTTGCCAGTGACCGGGGCAAGCAGGTATCCTTGGTTCTGCCCACCGACACGCTGAAACGAAGGGGCAATAGCTTGGTGGCCTACCCGAGTGGGGGCCATGGTACTCCCTGTGGGTCAAGCATTGCGATGTGCAGAGGGTGCCCTAGCAAACCACCATTGCCCAAATCCACTCCTCAGTCTGCCCACACAAACACTGGGAGACTTTCTGTGTGAGGGGGAAGGTGCACTATTTTTATTTACTTATGATTCTTCCCTTTCCTTTTGAAGTTTTGTGCCCCTAACAACTTTGCACCCAGGGCAAGTGCCCCAGTGGCCCCGCCCAAGCTACGTCACTGTGCAACTCTCATCTTCTCCAGCCAGCATGGCTGCAGGATACTGGGTGATGGGGGTTGTAGCCCAAGGGTGCCAGGGTGGGAAATGCTGGTGTACATAGCCAAAAGGAAGGATGTGAATCCGCAAGGCAGCCCAAGGTGGCTGTAAGATCCAGGGATCTCGCCTAAAGCCAAAACCGTGTATTGCCAATACAGTGGTGCCTCGCAAGATGAAATTAATCCATTCCGCGAGTCTCTTCGTCTT